GCTCCGAGCCCGAGCTCCTGGTGCTCCCACTCGCGTTGCTGCAGCAAGAGACCTCCCCATAGCTTTTGTTTTCAAATTGGATCTCACTAAGTTTCCGTTTCCTCAGGCTGGACTCAAACTTGAAATCCTGCCTCAGCTTCTCAGAGGGTTGAGATTACAGGCATAAACCAACATACCCAGCTGAGGTTTAATTTTCAAATAAGGAGTATTTCTATAGGCTATGAATTTGGATAATACTAGAAAGAGTTGATATTTGGGGTTGGAATGAATAAGAGTTTTCTAAGCCAGTGATGGAAGGGGTTGATGTTTCACCAAAAAGTAGTGTTTCTGAAAGGCACTGAGCATGCATCTCTGCAGTGAATTTGTGGTACAGCCAAGCCCTGGGGTTCCTGGAGGGAGTGTGGTGGTTGAAGAGCAGGGGAGAGGGTTAGATTGGAAAGATAAACTGAGCCAAGCTGTTCAAATGCAGTACTGAGAGTTTAGTTGAAAGATGGTTCATGCCTGTAATCACAATATGAGGGATGCTGAGGGAGGAAGATTACCATGAGTTCGAGAACTCTGTGAGCTACATGGTGAATTCAAGTGACCCTGTTAAAAAAAAAAAAAAAAAAAAAACTTTGAAAATTTTGATGCTGATTTTCTTTTGTTTACTTTCCTTCCCTTTTTTTGTTCACACTGGGGATCAAACCCATGGCCTCACACATGATAACATGCACGCATTCTGCTCATGGACAGCGCTGCCAACTTTTCCTCATCAGAACTTTGGTGAGAGGAGCAGGGCGTGATGGAGCACGCCTCTAATGCCAGCACTCAGGAGCAAGAGGCAGGAGGGTCTCTGAGATTGAGGCCAGCCTGGGTTACATAGTGAGACCCTGCCTCAAAACCCTACATAATTAATAAAAAAAAACAAAAAGAAAGAAAAAGAACTTGAGTGAGAGAAAACCCTGGTGGGAGTATAGAGGATAGATGGACAGTGTAGGAGACCACCCAGCCTTGCTCTCCTGAGAAATGAGGCCCCTTGCCACCATCTTCCCCTGACGTTTCCTTCAACCCAGTTCATGGAGACAGGCAGGGCTGGCTGTATGGATGTAGATGTTCCCTTGATTGGCCAGAAGAAGGTCATGGAGTGTGGCCCATGTGCCCGTGAGTCTCAGCATAGCACAGCGGCGCTCATGGATGAGAATAGTCGCACTGCTGATGGCTGGAAGGAGGCTCCAGCAGGAGCCTGTGAGTGAACAGGGCTAAGGCGTGAGCCCACACCCGTGCTGTTCCCATGGGACACAGAAAGAATGATACCTGCTGGCAGTCAGGGCCAGCCTCGCCTACACCAAACTAGCCATTGACTGCTAAATGGAGGGCCTCTGTGCCGGTGCAAGAGTGCGCTGCCCCTCCTTACAGCCAGGCCTGCAAAGTTTCTCTTCCCATGACCTCTGCTGTGACCCCACACACACCTCCCTGAATGGTATCAATAAAAGTATGGGATACTCTAACTCATGGCTTTTTGTTCCACTGAGAGCACTGGGTCATTGCAGAGCCCCCTCAATGGCAGATATCTCTGCTTCTACATCCATGTTTCTCATTGCCACATGGAAGAATGAGGCACTCCACAAGGCCCTACCACAGTGCCAGTGCCACACTGGACCCAACATGGTTCCAGTCTCCTACCTAGGTTATATTTCATGGTCCTGCAGGAAAGAAAAGAAAGAGCAAGTGACAAATTACACGTATGCATAGCAGGGATCTGGGACTACCAGGTGCTCTCTAGGAACAAAGGCCCCATCTCCAGCTAGCTAACATTTTAGGAGCCACTGTAGGGGAGGAGAGAGAGGGTGCTTTTCCTAGAACATGCTTGAGGAAATGGTACAATGGATGAGTTGAATGTCCTAAAGAAAACCAGCCAAGATCCCTCTGCATGCCTGGTTGCTAAACTCATGGACTTAGAGGAAGGTGTTTTCCGAATTCCAAACCTGGCCCACAAGTCAGACAATGCAAGGAGAGCCAGGACAGCTACTGTGTCATTGTCCATTTTGTGATCCCCAGCAGAATAGTGGTTTGACCAAAGGCAGGTGTTGTACTCCAGGGAGGACACACTGCATGCCCTGACCTGAGCTCTAGAATTGAGGAAAGTTCTGGATGAATGAATGCATTGTAGGTGGGATCCACAGGTCTTATTGATCTGCTGGGGTTAGGAATGGAAGGAAAAGATAAATATTTTATTGCTTACCAATTTGAGCAAATAAGGGGAGGAGAGGATGAATTCTAATGCAGATGAAAGGAAAGTATAGGCTGGTGTAGCATACTCAGCCCTGGATTTGATCCTGGCAACATGAAAGCAAAAAGTGCTCAGGGTGTGTTGGGACAGCAACACATTTTGCTTTGTACTTCACTTGTGAGCCATTCGTGGGGAGCTGTGGAGCCCAAGGGAGGTTGACTGAAGTAAGATCTTTCTTCTTCCACGTTTTTAGCTATAGGCTTCACCTACACCGAGTTCTGCAAGAACATGGAATCCTCACAGGTCTGCACCTGGCCCCTGATGGCTATTCCCTCATCTTGGTCGATGAGAATTTGGATGTACTACATATGACGCCTGGGGATGATCCATCTGTCATCGAGTAAGATCCAGTGTTTATTCTCCCTCAACTGGAGAAAGAAAAGGTGGTTTAGTGGTTATCTGAGTTTAACTTGGAAGAAACACTGGAATTCTAAATAGATGTGGTCTGGCTCAGCCTTACTTTCTTATGCACCAGGTACACATATCAAAATTGTCCCGTAGTATTGTCCAGCCACAAAGAATACGGGGTGTTCTATGTGAGACCAATGGGTGATCAAGCTGTGCGTCTCTTGGTAAGTTCTACTGTGGTATGTGCTACACATTTGTCGAGAGCCAGTACTTTTATATGTTGGGCTGCATGGCTCAGGGGAGAGGGAAGGAAAGTCAGCAGGGTGCAAATCCTTTTATCCTCCTTCTGTGAGAGTAACTCTGTTTTAGAGCCCGAGCTGCTCCTTTTCCAGGGAAGATTTCATTGCCAATAAACATGGTTTTACTGTTGAAGAAAAGCACAGGAAGCAAGGGTTATAGCTCAGCAGCATTAAATGCCTGCCTGGCAAGCACAAGGTTCTGAGTTCAATTTCGAGTATAAAAAAAAAGGGGGCTGGGGAGATGGCTCAGTGGACTAAGCGCTTCACTGGCAAGTGCAAGGGCCTGAGTTCAATCCCTGGTTCCACAAAAAAAAAAAAAAAAAAAAAAGATAGGAAGTCAGACATTTAGGTGTTTTCTCTCTTTCTTCTTTTTGTTTTTTGAGACAGGGTCTCACTGATTAGTTCAGGTGGGCCTTGAATTCATTCTATAGCCAAGTCTGGCCTTGAACTCAGTGATCCTTCTGCCACAGAGCTGGGTGTACAGCGTGCACCCCCAGGCCCAGCTAGTTTTCCTACTTGCAGTTCCATGTCTCTCTTTGTCTTGTCTCTGCACGAGCACCTTCAGGGCAAACACTTCAACTTTCTCGTGGTGTCTGCCACCTCCTAGACGTGCAGCACTTACTGCCTAGGTTGTGCCAGCGATAGACAGTCAAGTCCTCCGGAAGCCGACTAAACCCTGAAGTAATGTTACTAAAATTGTTCACAAAGCATATCAATGACCTAGTAATTCCATTCTGAATTATAAACTCGAGAGAAATAAGTGCACATGTTGTACAAAAGGTAAGGGCAAGATGTCTGAAGCAGTGTTGTTCATTAAGTCCAAAGTAACCTGAATGTTTATAAACAGGAAGAGTGTAAATAGTTGTTGTATTTTTATGCAGTACAATAATATGTGGCAGGAAAAAGGTGCGAAACTGAGTATCAGTGACAGAAGGAACACAAGCGGGGCAGGGTGGCACACCCCAACAGCCCCAGCCCTTGAGAAGTAGAGGCAGGAAGATCACCATGAGATCGAGGCCTGCTTGGGCTACATATGTGAGTTCAAAAGCAGCTTGTGCCATATAGGGAGACTGACACAAAATATAAAAAAGGAAGAGCACAGATTTCTTTTATTTTTTTTTAAAGTTTTATTTATTTGTGTGTATGTGTGTGTGTGCGGCCAGCCCAGCCCACCAGGGGACGGGGCTAGCTGGCATGTGGTGCTGGGGGATTGAACCGCGGTCCCTGTGCTTTGCTAAGCTTGTTCTAAGTAGGTGCTTTAGACCACTGAGTCATCTCACCAGCCCCAGAACACAGATTTCTTGCCATAGCCATTATCCTAGACAAAAGAAGCGAGACACAAAAGATACTATATAATTTTATTTAAGTAAAACTTGAGAATAAGCAGAACTCATTCCTGGTGACAAAAGCCAGAATATTGTTACCTCGGGGGAGGCTTTGTACTGATTAGGAAAGGGCAACTTTTGAGGTGACAGAAGCATCAGTGTCTATTGATCTAGGGATGATTGGTTGGGTAAATACAAATATCTCATGAGCTAGACAATTAACCGATGTGCCCTGTACTGTGTCCATGGCTTAGTTTGGTTTTAGAAAGTTCTGGTCATCCTGGAGCAGAGCAGTGTTGCTTCCCCTGGCAGAGTCGTGTGCGATGGGCAGGCTAACCAAA